ATATATATATAGCCTACTTGTCTAAACATACACTAGTCTGTTCCGGCTAATATTATGAATGAGTTTGGAGGGCTTTAGGACCCGGAAGCAGCGAGCGTAGTGACGTACTGAACGGCGAGACGTACAGCACAAATACGTAAAGACATTAGGTGAGTGTATTGACACGCGTCTGAAATCATTGATATTCAGCATTCAGACCTTATTAGTGCTGAAGGGTTTATGCTTCACTTTTGCTTATGTATTATAATTGTATCCACCGTTATGAAGTTTATCACACACCCACTGTTTGCCCTTGTTTATAGTGGTAGCCACATGACCTGCGTGGTCGCCATAAACACTAAACTACAGGACGATTTACTGATGTAGGGTGAATTAGTGTCGCAGTTTTCAACTTAATACACAGCAAAATGAAACAATAGAGATGTAAAAAAAAAAATATGACAACTTATTATACATTTGCTAATGTAGTAACTGTGTTGTTTGTACCGGTACATCCGATCTGTCAGAGCTCAGGCTGTGTCTCAAAACTTGTAGTTCGTTTGTATACGTGCCAGAAATACTACAAATAGTAGTATACTACACAGTATACTATATCCCACAATGCAGTGCACTTTACTCAACCTTCCATGTCCAAGTTGTTTTCAAGTTGTTTTTCAGTAACAATTGTAAACGTTTAATTTAAACAGACAGTTGTAAGTCAAGACATTTAAAAAAAAATGATATTAAAAATGGGAAATAATAGTTTTTATATCCGGAAGGTTAACGTAACAGCACTTGCTAAATTAAACATGCAATATAAAAAGGTTATGTAAAGGTAATACAGTATAATAGCATTTTAAAATTGTATGTATATGTATGCTTACACTTTCTTTTAAAAAGTAGTAGAATTGAGTCATTTTTGACCATAGACATTTAAAGCACACCTATTATGCCCAAAAATATTGATTGTCCCAAATGTGTTTATGCCTTCTAGGTTGTCAGCTCATTATGTTTTGAGACGCAGGCATTGCTTGTTTGCCTCCCATCACAGTCACTCAGTTAAGGAGTAAAGATCAGTATCTTTTCATTTTTGCCATATAGATCTCATATAAAGGTATGTGAAGACAGTGATATAAAAAGAGGTCATTCTCCCATATGAGTGCTGGATTTAGTTTCTAGGTTAATTAATTAACGAAGCTACCCTAATGAATAAGATTATTTTGAATTTCTAATCAGTAGCTTTTGAAAACATCACTTCAAATTGGCTTTGCACTATAAAATTGTTGTTTCAATTAAAGGAATATTTAGTATATATTAAATATATCAGATCATATATTATAATATATAATCATATAATCATATATAATAAATATATAAACTGCATATTAAAACTATAAACTGCTACACTACATATAATTGTTTGTGCAAAATTATATATATATATATATATATATTTATATATACAATATGAATTTCTTTACAAATTGAAAGTGGATTGAAAAATATTAATAAAACTAATAAAAATCTCTCATTTTTAATAGATTATAAATTTTCTGCTCAATTTTTTGAAAGTATTTCAT